ACTACGCTCAACCTGAGCAGGTGGCACTGAGTTATGGAGGTATGTATCCAATGATATCAAAGAACCAAGTTGATTCTCATGATCGTCGTGTTGTTTTATTTTATATATGAAATCACTGAGAGCCCCTCTTTACAATGACATGATTTTTGTATTTAAGCTGCTTAATTTTTGGAAACTTTACAACTCACTTTTAAATTTTTCAATGAAGAAATTAAAATTTAGCATCGCATAATGCAGTGCTTTCCAATCCAATACGCTCCATACCCTATATAGATGACATAATTTATGAAAAGCAAAACATTTCAAACGGATTTCAGAGCATTTCCACACATTCGTATTATTAGTGTTTCAGGTGATCCATCAACTGTATGGATAACATGGATTACATTCGACGATACCTATGCGTCTGTGGTGGAATATGGTACCAAAGATTTGGAACGCAACGCCACCGGAGATACTTCCCTATTTATTGATGGTGGATCCAAGAAATCGAAACGTTACGTTCATCGAGTCAGGCTCACTGAATTAGAGCACGGAACCACTTACTGTGAGCTAGCGATTTCAACTTTCAAATTTTTTCAGAAAATGCAAGCTTCTTAGCTCCTTGAGTGAGAATGAATGGATGTAAGAAAAGATGTATGTCTGTGGGTTTCAGAGTTACATGACATGAGCAATATGCCTGAAAAACTGGGTATATCCAAAAAAATTATTTGGAATTTGAGTCAAACTCTCAGAACAGTGTCTAGAGGAAGCACTGAATAAACTTTGAAATATTCCGAAGAAAAAAAGTAATAACACAGAATAAATAACACGATAGAACATAGATCGAATGACATCAATGCAAATTTCCTGTACAGCTCGTATGCCAAATGAGTAAAGCATCTAAGCAGACGAACAGCAAACAGCTCAGCAATGAAACACCTCATAAAAAACGAAACTGATTTAAATGAGATAATGATTTTTGGTAAAAATGACAGTGATTATTTTGAGTAATCTTTCTACGGACCCAAAATATTTCAAAAAGCGATTAGTTCACTGAGTTCTTATCCTGTTCCATTAATGAGTATAGTAAATGATAATAAATCAATTGAGCGATAATTGCAATCCATAATATCAAATAAGTTCGCCTTCAACTTTATTGAATCACTGAAGATCTGAGATTCACATCAGTGTATTCCACTTATTCCTGAACATTTACGTATTGAGCTCTTCTAATCTTTAAAATGTCATCTCATTATCGAATAGAATTAGCCTTTATTCAATCAATCGTTTGTGATCGTTCATATCGAATTTGTTAATTTGTTATTTTATTGATATATTTATTTTTTGCTCATTTTTTCATTCATTCATAATGTTTTTATTAATCGATTGAAGTTTATCACGTTGGTTCTGAATACGGTTGGAGTCCAATATTCCGTTTCACGGCACTCCAGGAAAGGCCAGAAGGTGGATATATTTATGCTGTATACGGTGACCTTGGCAATGTGAACGCCAGATCGCTGGGTAAAATACAACAACAAGCGCAACGGGGTCTTTTCGATATGGTGCTTCACGTCGGTTAGTCTTTTTCTTTGCATCCCGGTAATTGGACAGGCAGCGGTAATTGGATTGCGTGGGATCTTGGCATTGAATTTTAAGTCCCAAACCCAAGATTAACTCTAAGAAAAATCCCATGATTCGGGCACTTAATGAACCACAGCATTTTGTATAATTTTGGCAATGTCATACTGAGTTTACTCTACATTACCCAATAATCATCGTCCTCATTACATCCATTCATTAGAATGCTCACCTAGAATACATCACTCAGCCCGAATTTATTCATATTGAATGGCATTCGTTGTCTGTTATCATTATATGATAGCACCATCGCAGTTTTAATTATCCCTCACGCTCGCTTCGTCTTTCAATCCCGATATCTAATGCCGATCTCGAGATTGAAAAGCGGCCCCGTTTTTTTCAAATATTAACAAGCAACAGTGTGTGAAATCTTCATTCCGATCTATCACTGATGAATGCTATCTTGCAGGCGATTTAGCATACAATCTTGACACGGTAAGTGCATTCTTTTCAATTATTGTTCGCTGTGTTCATTTAATCATGTGAAGAGGATCGAAGGATCCTTCAGTTGAAATGATTTTCATATCTGAAGCATCCTGCCCGATTAAAGCTAAGATTTTCTTATCACACAGCGTCAATTCCTATCACTGACAACCCAATAGTTACGTACGCTGCAGAAATATGACTCACTCGTTATAGAAGAATGCTGAACATCGGATTGAAATATTGGTATCTTTTGCTATCGCTAACGAACTAGTGGGATCGTTATTTCACTACTAACGAAACAAGTGTTTTGTAGCGATAGTGTTAATGCTAGCGGGAGCGATAGCGAGAGTGGCCATCTGTGGATTTGAGAACAGAGAATCAGAATTTTTAAATTGAAATTTCAGGATGACGGTCAGTTCGGTGATCAATTCGGTCGTCAAATTGAGCCGGTGGCTGCTTACGTACCTTACATGACCGTAGTTGGAAATCATGAGGAGGCATACAACTTCTCACATTTTGTCAATCGATACACAATGCCCAACAGCGATCATAACCTCTTTTACAGGTGTTGCTCCACTTGTATTCATTTGAATCTGATACGGGGTTGATTATGATAGTTTAGACATCCTTGCGAAATTGTTTTATCATGAGGGGATGGTACGATCATGCAGAAAATTTCTTCTTTATCTGCAACAGATTGATGATATTGTAAAGAACTGGCTGATAGCATTAACAGAAATCAAAATTATTCCACCTTGGAAAAATCATTTTCCTTTCGTTTCTTCAGCTTCGACTTGGGCGCTGCACACTTCATCGCATTTTCAACGGAATTTTATTACTTTACGAATTATGGTTGGCAACAATTAGCGAAGCAGTGGGAATGGCTCAATAATGATCTGAAGGTTAATCGCATCGCTTCATGACATTCAGAAATGTGCAACCTTTTGATAGTGTCAAACTTTTATGCAGTCGCGCTTCATCTTCTTAAGTTTTATTTATTCACTCGATTGCCAGATTGCTAATCAAAATCGTGATAAGCGTCCATGGATCATAACAATGGGTCACCGACCGATGTATTGCTCGGATTTCGACGAAGACGACTGTACGAAATACGAGTCGAGAGTGCGTGAAGTTTTTGATATTCTTTCATGAATTCCTGCTTAAATCACACAAAAGTTGTAAACCGCTGCAATTTTCTTGTGCTTATCTGTTGCTCCGATGAGTCGTATGTAGCATTTGTTCTGAGCTGCAAGACAAGCACAGCAAAGTCTTTGGTGATTATGAAGAAAATTTTGAAGCAAAATTTGGAACAAAAAAATTCCATGTGAACCATTGATAATACGAAGCACTAGCGAATCGGTGCTTTATAGATTCGAGCAGGACTTCCAGAAACACATGCGTATGCACTGGAAAAACTTTTCTACTCGTTTGGCGTAGATCTGGAAATTTGGGCACATGAACATTCCTACGAAAGAATGTGGCCAGTTTACAATAGAACAGTGAGGATTTTACTTGAACACTATCGTTATTAATCTCATTAATCCAAAATACCTTGAGTTAGTAGTTTTTCGGATAGTTCGAATTTATTTCGCTCGAAGAATAGTATGTAACTAGCAGGAAGGTGATATAAAATGTAAAGCTTTGGTTGAGAGCAGATTATGCCTAAAATATCATTTCGATTGCAGGTTTACAACGGCACTCGTTCGCCGTACGTGGATCCACCGGCTCCAGTGCATGTTGTCACAGGATCAGCGGTAAGGATTAAGTTGGATTCCACCGTTCGATAGGATTAGGGAAAGTTAAGAGCGCCAGGGGCACCCTCAGTAGCTGAGTTAATTTCCAATGAAAAACAGCGTGATTATAGGCTATATGTATTTCAGACGATCTCGATTTTCATCAATAATGTCTAGGAATATCGGAAATGCCATTTTCAAATGATCAGCATACAGAAGTTTGTACACCGACTCGAGATTTCTTCACAGTAACAAACTGAGTAAATTCTCCACAGCTGGAAATATTTGTGTATGTATATTATCAAGAAAGTTTAATAAGCTACAGCATATACCTGAGTTAATAAAAGAATGGAACTCGAGCGAAATAATTTTACTGTCAAGCATCATATAAATGTGACCTCTGTGTCGATCACCCAATGTTTTGGTAATCTGATGAACAGCGCCTTTAGTAGATTCTTATGCTCAGCGTTGCCCACAATCTTCGCTTTTTCCCATGTAATAGCTTTATGTGCTCGGAATTACAAGACAAATACCTAATTCTTTGAAGGGAATTAGCTGGTCTGGCTGATCACTGTCCGCACATGACGATATTTCTTCAGCTTGATAACATGCGTTGCCAATATGCACTCAAACATCTCGACCACGAGCACTCTCATTATCAATATTTTGTTATTGAAGTGAATATTAAGTAAGATATTTCAGGGTTGTCAGGAGAACACAGATCCCTTTATTGAACATCCTCCACCATGGAGTGCGTTCAGATCTTCGAATTACGGATTTAGTCGCATGCAAATTTTCAACTCCACTCATCTTTACTTCGAGCAGCTGGCTGCATCGAAGGTACCATCATAAGTTTGCCAATTGCGAATATTCAGAATTTTTTTCAACGTGCTAACTCTCAATTTTGATCGATGCTTTCGAAAGGCGTTCAAACTGCACAATCCTCTTCCACTTCGCAGAACATGAAAATTCAAATTCATTTATTTTAGGATGAAGCTGAGGACAGTTTTTGGTTGGTAAAAACTGATCATCATCGTTATGACAGATTGGATCGCAAGCTGATGAGCCGTCACGGTACGAAGATACCATACAATTATTGCCATCACCCATCGCATTGTCCGAAGCGACATCGGAACGCAGCTCTAGACTCAAACGGGATCGAAGATGCATTCGATTCATTCTTTCGATAAACCATGCAATACTTGCACTTATCCGCTTATCACATCTTAATCGAAGTGGAATTCACTCATTTGAAACTATTCACATGCGAAGTACTCTAAAATGATTCAATAAATTCGATTTCTATCAGGTTCATTCCATCCAACCACCAAATGCATCACTATATGAAATATTTTCATCAAATAACAAGTTAGCTGAGGTCGGTAAAAGATCTCAGCGGACGATTCGATCAGCACGTAGTAGCTAACGGCT